CAAGGGATCTCAAAGCCACGATCAGTGGCAGGGCCAGGCAGAAATCAAGGTCTGGCCCATCCCTGTCTGTTATATATATAGTCCTGCCTCTTTGATTCACTTGGATGCAGCATGCATTGTTTTTTTATTTTTGTTTTATAGGATTATTCTACTGAGAGACTGAAGAAAACAAATGAAATATTGAAAGGCATCAAACTTCTGAAGTTATATGCCTGGGAGCACATCTTTTGCAAAAGTGTAGAAGAAACAAGAATGAAAGAACTATCCAGTCTCAAAACCTTTGCACTTTATACATCACTCTCCAGTAAGTTGCCATTGCTCTAAGGACCACCAAAAAAACATGTGGCCTATTCACTTTAGGTTGTGATCCCTGAAACATTCTACTCATCTGAGGAAGCCCATTCATTTTCTACATATGTGCTGCCCAATAGCCATTAGCCACATGAGCCTATTTAAATTTAAATTAAAGAGCAGGGTTAGTGTAGGCTTAGAGTCAGGTAGACATAAATTTGTTTCCTTTTAAGATGTGTGCTTTTGTCATGTTACTTTGCATCTGAAATCCTTGGTTTTTTCATCTGTAAAATGGGGATGGTGATGAGCATAGTACCTGTAATTGAAACCATCACATCAATTACCACTGGGATGAATAGTGGGTTTTCAGTAAAAATTTGTTTACTTAAGTTGATCTGACTATAGTATTATTGACCTTCTTATCCCCAAAGATCCTCAAAAGTTATCTGTAGTTGTCTACCTGTCTCTCTGGGAGCTTATGATATTATATTTTCTTGAAGACAATACTTAAAATGCAATTTTTGAAAATTGAGAAGAAGAAATGTCAACACTTCCGAGTGAAAGAAGTCAAGTTTCATTCACATAAAACCCTCTTTTCCAATACATTTTCAAGAACTTTTAAATATGGAGCACTTATATCTTCAATTCTAATTTTTATAAAGCAACTGTTAAAAAAATTGTTGTTTTTCCCTCAGAGTGACACTGAGTACTCTCAAGAATAATTAAGTTTATGTTAGTACAATTCTTAGAGACTTAGCCACTCTACTCCCAGTAACATTTGATTTGGTTCGTGTGTCAGTTTTGCTTATCTCTGTTGTTCCCAAGACTGAACAAATTAAAATTCTGGAGGTTAATATATTGTTTCCTCTTGAATTCTAAACTACTTTAGTTCTTAGAGATTATAATTACTTGTTTGTTAAATAGATTTAGAGAAAATATTTGGTTTGTATAGCTCATTTATTCTAGCCCTGATGCCTGATGCATTAGAAATGAAATGGGAAGGAGATTTATCTTCCAGTTCTGCACCACTGCTAATATGGTGTCAAAATGCTAGAAGATGGAATGATTGATATCCACTTGTTTATGTAATAGTACTATAATCTGGTGACCCTGACAGAGGAATGTATATTTCTCTCTGCAGTGGACTGAAATACTCATGAGAAGGATGGATGCTGCCAGAAATAATGACAATAAAAATATATTGAGATACTCAGCCAATTATTGCCATAAGTGGCTTTACACATATCATCCCCTTTAATCCTCCCAACATCTCAATGATTTAGATTCTACTATTAATTCCATTTTAGATATTAAAAGATTGAGGTGGAGAGAGAGCTTAAGTAACTTGAACTTCCCTTAAATCATCCACCTACTAAATGGCAGAGGTGTGTCGTTAATCCAGTTTGTCTATCTACAGACATGAAATTTGGGTTGGTTTTTGAAAGTCAGATACAAAAGAGGAGAGGACAGAGGAGGCCATAATAAGGGAGAAAAACGAGAAATCATGAAGGTAAAAATACAGAGTCATGTGTTTATGATAGGCAGCAGGAATTCTTGAGTCAATGGTGTAAAATTCCCAGTTGGACTACTTGTAAGATTTATGATATGGTTATGTACAGTGTTCTTAGTGATTAAGAGCTTGAACTATGGGAGTTGCATAGTGCTGTCTATAAATCCCAGCTCTGCCCCTTTTTGGCAGTGTGGCCTTGACCAAGTTACTTGTATCCTCCAAGCCCCAATTTCTTCATTTGTAACATGAGGTGATAATAATGTCTACCATGTAGGACTGTACTAAAGATTAAAATAATGAATGATACAAATGTTGATTGGATTGTTGATTCTATTCCAGGCACGATGTCAAGTGCTTTGGGCTCATTATTTCATATAAAGCACCTGGCAAATGGTTTCGTGCCCTCTAACCTCCATCCGTCAGTTTCCTCATTTAAAAATTAGTGTAATAATAATAAATCATTATCACAGGTATATTGTGAGAATAAAATGAGGCAGTGAATGTGACACTGTTCAGTAACTGTTAAAAATATTTTATAAATAAGGGCGCCTGGGTGGTTCAGTCAGTTAAGTGTCTGACCCTTGATCTTAGCTCAGGTCTTAATTTCAGGGTCATGAGTTCAAGCATTGCATTGGACTCCATGCTGGGCATGGAACCTACTTTAAAAAAATATATATATTAGGGCGCCTGGGTGGCTCAGTTGGTTAAGCGACTGCCTTCGGCTCAGGTCATGATCCTGGAGTCCCGGGATCGAGTCCCGCATCGAGTTCCCTGCTCGGCAGGGAGTCTGCTTCTCCCTCTGACCCTCCTCCCTCTCATGCTCTCTGTATCTCATTCTCTCTGTCTCAAATAAATAAATAAAATCTTTAAAATATATATATATATTTAAAATATTATAATATATTAATATATATATATTTTATAAATAGTATTTGTAGAGCACCACAAGAAAATAAAAAATAATGAAAGGAAAAAGTCGGCTGTATAACAGAGTGGTTACTACTGAGTCTTAGAGGGTAAGCTGACCTGAAATGATATCCTGTCTCAGCAACTTGTCAGCTCTACAGCCTTGGTTAGTATTTGGAGGAGTTTCAGTTTTCTCATCAGGAAGCTGGGAAGTATTAAGAGTGTCTTCAGGAATTAAATAAGATAATGTGTGTAAAGTGTTTAGAAAAGTACCTGAAACATAAAAGTGCTCAATCAGTGGTATCTGAAAATATTGAAAAGCAAAGTTAAACAAGACACTTACTAGTAGAACTGAAGATTCATCTCTGCTTTTATGAATCAGTGTTCTTGCCAGTTGAGATAATATCTGGGGGGAAGAGAAATTCTATTAATTTCCTAGTTTCTGTTGCTAAATGGTCTTGTGCTATTTATGGATTTAATCCATTGGTAAAAGGCAAAAAGACAGTACTGTATTTTTTTTCTCTTCACTTTGATAGAGTCTTATATGGAGAAGTGAAAAGAACATATAGCTTTTAAAAAAATTATTTATTTATTTATTTGAGAGAGAGGGAGAGAGAGCACAAGCGGGGGGAGGGGCAGAGGGAAAGAGAAGCAGACTCCCCACTGAGCAGGGAGCCTGATGTGGGGCTCGATCCCAGGACCCCGGGATCATGACCTGAGCTGAAGGCAGACGTTTAACCGACTGAGCCACCCAGGCACCCCAAGAACATACAGTTTGAGACCAGAAAGATCTGGATTTAAATCCAAGCTCTATCACTTCCTAGTTTGGAATCTTGCATGTTATCCTTCTTAAGCTACTTCCTCATTATTGTATAGGCTAGTTATGGTCATTAAATATGAGAATGTATGTAAAGCACTCTTATCATACCTCAATGCTTGTGACATGTTAATGCAGAGAAGGTGGTGGCGAGCAGTCTGAGAGGCCTGACTGCATTGGTTTGAATCCCAGCTGTGTGACCTGAAGCTTCTCGTTCTCATCTTTGTAATGGGATAGGAAAAGTACCTACTACATGTACCTGGTGCAGATTGCTGTATAAATGGTTTTCAATCAAATAGCAGTTATTCTTGGTCTTCCTCATCAAGGGGATATTACCTATTCAAAGGAGTGTACTATGAAATGAATGATTAACAATGATGAGGGGAAAAGAAAGAAAAACACTTAAAGAACAGGGTGACAATAGCCAGAGAAAGAAGATGGAGGCAAAAACGTAGCTCCTCATCTGTGCTGTTATGAACCTCAGGGCAGTGTTTGGATTCTCAGTCTTGTACAAGAATTCAGATTTGATAACCAAGCCACATCTGGACCTGCAAAAGCACAATATGATTTTGTGTACAGTGGTCATGAGGACTCAATTTGATTCACTCCTGCATGTCAAAAAAAGCAGGTTCTAGCTTTCACTCTATTACCAATTCACTTACTCTTTTACTCCTCAGTCCCTAGAATTCTATGATTTATGAAAAATATAACTACAAATCATCAACTTGGCTTTTTAATTTTACTATGACCTCCAAATGCTAGCATTTTAGCTTAAAAAATGAGTTTTCCTTGTTTCAGTTGTACATATCATGCTCACCAAATGTGAGTGCAATATGTTCCTGAAGAGACGTTCAAACAAGCAGAGGGTTTAAGAAATGGAGTTATTTTGTTAAGCAAAAGGCCTATAACTGAAAATAAATATCACTTTTGGAAGGAGAACTTGAAGTGATGTCAAATTCTTGTTTTTATGCTGCATAATAACTCAGTTTTCATATATTTAAGTTAGCTTGGTGGACCAAGTGAAATATAGACTGGAAATAAATACTCTCAAGAAGGCACATTTGGTTGGATTCTAATTATTTGTATCATTAAAGGAATATTTCATCTGAATTTTGCAGTTTATAACAGTTCATAAAAAATAATTTTTCCATAAGAAATAGTATTTTCTGGGGCTCCTGGGTGGCTCAGTCGATTGACCGTCTGCCTTCGGCTCAGGTCATGATCCCAGAGTCCTGGGATTGAGCCCCGCATTGGGCTCCCTGCTCAGCAGGGAGTCTGCTTCTCCCTCTACTCCTCACACCGCTCATGCTCACTCACTCTCTCACTCTAAAATAAATAACTAAAATCTTAAAAAAAAAAACCCTGTTTAAAAAAAATACTTTTGGATTCAGACTAATATGGGGGAACTCATACGACTTTAAACAAGGAAATACCAACAGAGCAATGTTTGTGGACTCCGGATAAAATGTTATTTAATGCACTCGGTCCTCTCTGTCTTTAAGGGAAGTTAAAGTAATAATAGATGATTAATTAAAGTTAATGAAAATGTTTCACAGTTCAATGAACCTAATGTATTTGATTTCTTTCCACAGTCTTCATGAACGCAGCAATTCCCATAGCAGCTGTTCTTGCTGTAAGAAACTTTCTCTTGCTTTTAGAAATGGAACTAAGTCAGTGTTTAGAAATGATTTATGAGCAAGAATGTGTGGGTGGTAATATATATTACTTCACTTCTGCCAGTTTTCTCTTGCAGTCCCTATTTTAATAGTCCTAATCCAGGGTTTCTTCACGGTGACACTATAGACTTTTTGGCCCAGATAATTCTGTGTTGGTAGGGCCTTTTCTCTGCATGAGGATGTGAAGCAGCCTCCCTGGCTTCTACCTATTAGATGTCGCTTGCACTCCCCAGACATTGCCAAGTGTGCCCTGGGGAGCAAGATGAGTAGTAGTTGAGAACTAACTGTTGTAATCTTCATGACCTGGTTCTCAGACATTCTTACATCAATATAGTGTTAGATCAACAACCAGAAAAGTACATTACATTTCAAACTAAAATGACAAACTAGGATTGCATTTAGAAACATAAATAAGTCTGCATCGAACACTAATGTTGGCAAATTTAGTAAAGATCCACAATAGGGACCCTAAAACAATGGAACATCTTTTTCTCTTAGAAAATTTAGTATTGGTTGGAAAGAACCTGATTGGTTGTTAAGAACTCTGGGTTCACTTCACAGTTATCCCCCTACTCAGTAATTTGACAGAAGTCCATTTCCTAATCTGTAAATAGAATCTGCTCTGCCCTTCTCACAAGTTCACTGCTAGGATGGTATGTAAACCATTAAGGACTATCAATAAGTCTTTTTGTTAGGGAGTAATTTGGGTGAAGTAATTGTTTTCAGAGTTGGGATGGACATACTGGCATAGCAAAATAGGTTAGGTTTGTAAAATTGAATGTAAGCATTTGTGAAATTTTCTCCAGCTTGCTCTAAAGAACTTCTCTCTTTGTGCAGACATTCGTGACCCATGCGTATGCTAGTGGGAACAATCTAAAACCTGCAGAGGCCTTTGCTTCCCTGTCTCTCTTTCATATCCTGGTCACCCCGCTGTTCCTGCTCTCCACAGTGGTCAGATTTGCAGTCAAAGCCATCATAAGGTATGCCCTGGAATGTCTGGAATTCTTTGCTTGATTATAGAAATAATATATGCTGGTGGTAGTCAATTTGAAAAAGTATAAATGAGAACATTCAAATCACTGCCCAAGATAACCGTTGTTAAAATTTGAATATGCTACTTTTCAGTCTTTTACAATTATTTTTAAATGAAAATAACTATTATTCTGAAATAAAAATTTTGAGTTTATGTAGCTTTTGACTCCTTATTTCACTTTTTGTTTTTATTTTTTCCCCTCATTAAGATCAGGATGTTTATTGGTTATGCAATAGTCCATAGTTTTGAAGTACTGTAAGTTAATTTAATGATTCCCTCCTTATTGGGCACTTAGAGCTTTTCTACTTTCTACCCAACATAAATAACATTGATATAAACATCTTTTTATATCTTTAAACTTTTCTCTGATTATTTTCTTTTTTTATTTATTTATTTATTTTTTATTTTTTATTTATTTTTTTTTTTTTTTTTTTTTTTTAAGATTTTTTTAATTTATTTATTTGAGACAGAGAGAATGAGAGAGAGAGAGCACATGAGAGGGGGGAGGGTCAGAGGCAG